GTACAAAACTAACATACCCATCAATTCGGGTACAAAACTAACATAATAATTGACATAATATTATATACCCATCAATTCGGGTACAAAACTAACATAATAATGATATAATATTATATACCCTTCAATTGGGGTACAAAAGTAACAATAATAATAATAGTCGACAAAACCTAGGACTACTTAAAAAAAAAACTAACCAAGAAAAATCTGACAAAATTCTAGGACATATAGTCCTAAAGACTCGCTGATGTACTGGGCCCATTTAAAATGTCAGTCTTGGTTGGATTTGGAAGAAGTAGAGAAAAATTGTACTCGTAGCTTATTGTGTACCTAAGAGACTGCTATGATTCTTTATATATTACAATTAAGTTGTATATTAATTTACTAAACACAAAACAAACAAAAAAATCCAAAATTCAAATTCAATATCTAAATGAACATCAGTTAGATATTGATCATAAAATCAAGTATTTAGTAAAATAAAATAGTATAGCTCAAATAAACAGAAAATATAATCGAACTTGTAGACAAAGCTGCGAATTGAGTTTCTCTAGTCATACTTATTTTAAAGAATAGAAAAAAGGAATATAAATCTGTCTGTCAAGGGAAAAGTCCTAAACAAAAAATGTGCATGCTAATCTTGGTAAAAAACATGTTACAATTACTACATAATTAAAATACCTAATATGTATTTACTGCACACACACAACAAGATAAATTTATTTGTTTATGCAAATAAATTTATCTTTATCTAAACCTGGCTTAAAAGATGCTTTTTATCAAATTGAGATTAGAGAGAATGTACTTAACTTTTTTATAACAAGCAAGTGGTTATTTCGTTTCGATTACGAACCTACTACAATAAATAATTAAAACTCTGTTTATTTAAATCTCTGTTTAAAGTGACTAAATATTATATTATTTAGTCTGTGTAACAATGGTACTTGTAATTTAACGTGTCAAAATCTATAAATTATATAAATATAATTTATTACTTTAAGTATCTTTATTTTTAATAACAGAGACTTACCTTAGTTTAAATATAAACAAATATTGGTCACGGTTTTGTAGCAAGACATGAAAACCACCAACTAATAGGTATATTATAATATACACATGAATGTTTTAAATGTAACAATTGGAAATAATCCCAAATAAAGGAAATGAATAAAACACCTAAACATGTATTGAATATCTTACACAAGATTAACTGTTTGTTTGTTAATATTTTAATTTCGAACAAATGATGTAAGGCTAAAACATGTCCTACATCTATTTAAATTCGCGATTCACAACGCGAAAGTTTAAAAATGTGTTCAACGTATTTTAACTTTGTAAGGCAAAATAATATACCTACATATCCGTACACGTAGGTTACAAGTAATGTATTAATAAAGGATTTATGTTCATGTTTAATCAATCGTAAGTAGAATTTTTAGGGCATGAGCTAATCTCAGAAAGTATTACTTGTAAGTCCCTAAAGACTATAGAATCACTTAGAAAACCAATTTTTTTGGAAAATTTTAAAGTTATAAAACTAGTAACCTATATTGAGAAATAAATATGATAATGTGTTATAATAATATTTAGATTTTATGTTTAAATATTTTAGATATATGTATAAAACTCTATATTATCAATATCTTAAATTACAAGTTGTACACAGTCACACTTATCTATCTTTATCAATTTATTGGTACACAATAAAAGAAAATGGACTCAAAATTTGGCTACAATGACTGAACAAATACGTAAAATGTTAAGGCGTAAGCTCGCTAAATATACTGTGTTCAGAGTTCTGGAAAGAAAAGCAAACATTTACAGTAATTCGTAATTTCAAAGCAAAAAGAGTTAGTAAATTGTGGACACTTAAGTTTTATAAGCCATGCAATTAGTAGTTAGATGCTCCCAGGAAAACTGAACCTTAAAGTCAATCATTACAAACTCTTTAAATACGAATTCTGAGTCCTTTATTAATGGTTTTCTATTTTTATTTCATTTGAGATAGCGTAAACGAGCATTCGCTACGACTCATGATAATTATTCTGGCACCCCGGCACTGTTGCCATAAACAGTAGATTATGTATCAAGGTACAAAGGATTGATACCAGTCTCGGTACATATAATAGATGTTGTAATCAATGTTCATGAAGAAATAAAATTTTGTCTACATGACATCTGATCTAAAACAATATATTATGTAACATTCCTAAAATTAATCGATGTCTAAACTATAATAAATGTGACATACTTATGTAAATATTGAGATTATAAATAGTAACGTCTCAAATATTGTCAGTATATGTATTGTAGGAATTATTAATTGGAATTCTGATATACTTAGTATAAGACCATAAATCTTCTTAAAAGTACATAAATAAAAGAAATTTTACAAGACTTGACACTTTATTCAGCACAACATTGGATAACTGCTTAGAATTTGGTATTAAACTATACTATTCGACACCATATTGACCGCAGTAGAACGAAGCAAGTAGAATACAAAAATGTGACATTATAATACGTGTACAAATAAATTAAAACCCAAAATCTGACTGGAGGGATAAACTCCTGCTATACCTCATAAGTTACAATATCATGCCACATTATTGATTTGTCATTAGAGATAAAATCTCTTCTATTGTAAATGCTAAGAATAATAAGATTTATTTAGAATGGCAGAGACAAATCAATAAAAGAACATTTTAAAATTGGAAGGGAAAGATATAGTGACATAGATATTGAAAATAGGAGAAAGTGTATTCGGAATATAATTAAAGAAAATATATATGCGATACTTCAATCCCTGTATACATATATTTATTGGCGCTATATCTATAAGAAAATATGGGACTAGACAAGAATTGAGATAAAATATATACACAATAATATACTTAAGAAGATGGAAGATCAGTAAGAAATTATAAGGATGATGAAACGAAAGATCTCGATGGACTTCGAGAGGAAATAGTCATATAGTTATTTTTATACAAACCAGTCTTATTATATTTAGTTGCCTAAGTTATATTTTGTAACATAATATATATGGTAGTATCATGATATTATTTTAGTTACTTATGACTGTAATGTAAAACTATATTGGTGTAGTTGTATCTATATGAAATTTGTGAGTAATTGTATCCTTTCACATTTTGTTGTAAACTCAATTTTGTTTGAAAAAAGCAACAGCTAAGTTTCTTGCCCGTTCTTCTTAGCTGAAATTGCATTCCGAATGGGCGGTAGATTTATAAAAAAAATGACTATTCAAAAATGCTTAAAAAATAATAATTAAGTTTCCTAGAGTAAAAATATTCATATTCTATTATTAATTTAAAATATTTTGAAAAGGGAGAGATGTGATGTACTCATTAAAGTTGAGACTGCAAGTCCCCCCGCTCCGGCCACTCCTCGGGGTGACGTCCGGGCGGGTGGTCGTGTGAGTCGCATTGTGACATATTATTGTTTATTATTTCCTACACCTACCTACCATACCAGGAGGACAGCACAGTTATCCAACCGGTATGGTATCGAAACAATATCTAAATGGGTGACGACCTTTTTCCCGCCATAAATGTTTACAGGAACCCAATATATAGATATCCGAATAGTACCGATATTACTACTACCTACTATGAAGTATGTGTGACAAAAAAAGATACAGCTGACAATCCTGTCTCGATTCGGTTACGAATTCAGTTAATGCACAGTTATCTCAAACAATAACATGACCATGTGATCGCACAGCTGTTGTTCACGTGAAAAAAAAATACATACGCCCACAAAAACTGACACCTGAATGCACCTTTATTTTGGACATCAACTACATAGTTTTTATTTTTAACGTCATAAGGTTGCGTATTGATTTGTATTTTTTTTTGTATGATCTATTTAAAAAAAGAATAGGATATCGTCATTGCGGCGATTTTAAGTTTGGAATATGTAGTTACCGTAGATAAAGAATAGCACCCAACGGATTAAAAAAAGTATGTATGTATACGGATGTAATCCCGATTATGGTAGGTAGGTAGTTAGATGCATTTTTTTAAACCGTTACTGTAGTAGAATGTATTACACGATATGACCACATTTTGTCGAACATATTTTAATGTATTTATTAGGTTAAATAAGGGACTAATACAGAACATTTTTCTTAAAGAAATAAGAACGAAAAATTTTAATTTTCAATATTTGGACCTCTCCATACTTACAGTCTCCAAATTTTGTCTAAGTTTTTGTTGTATTTCCACTACCTGGGTTGTTTTTTTTTTTTTTTTTTTTATAGAAATGTCTATTTATAGAAAAATAATTTCAATTTTTCTATGTATGTCCAAGTTATGTTATATATCATCATCATATTTATTCTTGTTTTTGCATTGCATGATTTGACCTTGATATCGCAAATAGTCACCGGCATCTATAGAATATATATTTATTATAATTCTACTAAGATCCATTGCAAGATGTAATAATAGTCTCAGACGCGCCCCATTTCCTACTCACCCTTACGCAACAAAAGGCTACACACACAAAAGCACAAAGCGCGCGCACACGCACATGCGTCAACACCTGAACGCACATGTCGTAAGAAAAAAAATACACTTGTGAATTATTCTTTACAATCAAAGAGAATAATTTAAAATTTTGTTTAACAAACAAGTCTTCGAAATTCAAAAAGTAAAATTAATATAGGATTTGAAAGTTATTTAAAAGAATCTTGGGTATGTCTCCAATCCCAGACTTATCTATGTCCATTGATAATCTTAGGATCCGTTGGCATTGGTAAACCAAAACAATTTTTTTTATGCAACTTAGAATGGCAAACAAGTTAACAGACTAGCTATTTGAAAGTGCTAACCGTCGCCTATAGACATGAACAGTACCACAGACGCACGTAGTCTGCCATTTACACTATCTATGCGTATTAAAGATTAATAAATAAATTTTTCAATATCCCACCCTTCATAGTTGTGTGTTACTTCAATTATCTTGTTCTTTTTTTCCAGATTATTTGACAGTCCGCAAATACCTAAAAGCGTATTAGAGAAATGTTCAACCCCAACACACCATCCGCCGAGATCAAGACTCTTCCCGCCCAAATTAAACGCTCCATCTGGTAAGGCATTATTTTTAAAAAAATTCTGATCTTCCATGTATTGTTAGTGTACACTATAGGCATTATTATTGTTATACAAATATGTACTAAGTTTACCAGAAGGAGACTTTGTACAAAAGTCGTTTGCTTGCATACCTCTGTCTCATTCGTGTTTTTACCGTGAAGCAGTTGTGTTTGCATGGCTATGTTTCGGTTTGAAGGGTGGGATATGGCAGTGAATTTACAGTGTACAGAGGAATAACACCTGTGTCCTCAGGAATGGCAACGCATGGAAGGTATCATGGACGAAACAGCATACTCTGTTATGTCCATGGTACTGCTCATGTCTGTAGGCGACGGTTACCACTTTCCATCAGGTGGGCCGTCAGCTTGTTTGACATTCTAAGTTGTATAAAAAAAAATATGAAAATTAAATGTAATCTTTTATAGTTAATTATTAGTATTAATTATTGTAAATAACTTGACATATACAAAAATTGTAATTACCTGTAGTGGGTTGGAGTTTGATCATTTGTAAACTGCAGGTAATAATAAATAAATAAATAAAAATTAGATTCAAAATTGGATCTGCAGGTCACCAATTGGGTTAATCATCGGTCCTGGACACGATAGTAATAAAAAATATGTCATTGACAGGCATGCCGTCGGGCTCGAGCCATCACCTTCACCCTCCGTCAGCGGACGAGGACAGCGCGCTGGGCAGCCTGCCGCCCGACGACGCGGACGACTCCCGCCTCGCGCAGCACCGGCCCGTCGCCAACATCAACCCCTTTACGCCGGACGGTTCGTAATGACTTTTTTTTTATGAGATGATAAGGTAACGGTGGGGAGAAAGGGATTACTTAGAAATTGTTTGTAACGGCCCCATTGCTAGCAATATACCTTATCAAGTCGACCTCTACGCGGTTACCCCTGGAAACCATCGTGGTTAATTCTTGTCGAATTCTACATGATGGGCCGACTGATCTGCCTTCATCCTCGTCTATCATCTATCACTGGTGCGTCGCCAGCGTATACCGATAGCGCAGGTGGGGTTACCATTCCATTATCATCCATTAATAAAAAGGTAATGATAACCCCATCTGCGATGTTGGTGCTACACTGGTAGGGCACGGGGGGAAGGGGAATGTTAATGGGGACTAATGGCTTCATTTCTAGCTAGCTTTGTCAGGTCGACTTCCGCGCGGTTCCCACTGGAAAGCATTGTGATTAATACTTGTTTCATTCGTCACGATGAGCTAACTGACCTGTTTCCATCCTCATCTATTGTCCATCACTGGTGCCCTGCCAGTTTTTAATAAGATAATGAAGTGGTAACCCCGTCTGCACTATCGGTATATACTGGCGGGGCACCAGTGATGGATGATAGATTAGTTTGAAAAAAATCTATAAAAGACTATATACGTATATTCTTTATAGTACTTGAACAAAAGGTACAGCAATTAGTTTAACATCTTGTTAGCAAGGGTGGGCTTAACTCTGAAAAAGATCTCATCCAGCCAACCCAGTGCAGTTAGAGAGAAAATAATTAGCTTTTTAAAAATGGAAAGAAATTAGGTGGTTCCTTGATTGTAACTTTTAATGTTTACAGGGCAAGCTCTTAACAAAAAGAAGCGTGCACTGTCCAAAACGCCTACGTGGGACGCGACGCCTGAACAGCCGGCAAAGAGGCTTAGGGTGAGTTTATATTTATATGTAGTTATAAGCCAATAATCATGAAAGACTTCCTATTAGAGATGTTCACAACATATTAATCGTTTTAATTATTTATTTAATACAAAAATCTATTTTAATAAATAACTGATTAAATATCTAATCCTCTTATAGTACATTACTGCAGCGGCCAGCAACTGAGGCATTGACGGACGAACCTACAAATGTGGACCGAGGTGTAGCCGAGGCACACATACGTGAGTCCATCAATGCCTAGTTGTGGCCAAGGCTTGTATAGTACTTTTCTCAAACAATGCGCGGAAATCAAAAACACAATTTTACTTTTTAAATTCAATGACGAATAACGAACAATAATAATTTTTCACGCGTCATAATGTTCCTTTGTTTTTTTCAATAAACAGCTTTCTATTTGCAAGCCAGTTCGAAATTTAAATAAAACCTTGTATTAGTTACCTCCTTAGTAGCCATGTTTCGAAGTAAAAGGTCATTACATTTTTAAATTACAGGACAGATATGAGTTTACATAGTAATTTATCTGGCCGCAAAACACGACAGATATGGATTTTCATACAAATTTTGCCGGCCGCTGCCCGCATGTATCTTGGCCAGTACGGCAATTTTGATTTATCTCGAAGAAGATTGTCAAAATAATGCTCACATTTCCAAGTATGTTTGAGAAAAAGTACTATACAGTCCTTGGCCACAACTAGGCATTGATGGACTCACGTATGTGTGCCTCGGTTACACCTCGGCCCACATTTGTACGTTCGTCCGTCAATGCCTCAGTTGCTGGCCGCTGCAGTAATGTACTATTTTTTAATATTTGTTAATTTAATTCACTTATAATCGTATTTACTAATATTGCTCACAATTCAGGTTACATGTATATTTCTATAACTAATAACGCAACTTTTATAATATTTCTAGTCTAGTGTTATTTAATTCATTATAATTGTTATTTCATTTTCTCGCACTGTATAATTATGTTAAAGTGAATGCTGTGAATACCTATAATAGGCATGTGCATTAATATTGTATTATATTTAATGTTTGTTATATGTGTTATAATGCAATATGCTGTTGGTGTTCCTTTAAATAAATAAATAAATAAAAACAATAGCGTGGATATGCACGGATATTTAAAAATATTTCTGTATATTTGCACATATTTTGGTTTTAATATATAATCCTCTATCTGTTTCTATCAGGGCCGTAGCCTAGATCCATGTTTAAAGGTAAAAGTACTTTTTGGTAGGTCATTGAGCTTTTTGAGGTAGGACATTGCCCCTCAATGGTTTATAAAAGACGGGCAAACGCCAAACGCTCGAAAGTGTAACAGTTGATGTAGCTGTTGTGTGGTGTGTGTGTCCAGGAGTCGAACATCTCCCGGTACAACGTGGAGTTCGTGGAGCAGTGCGTGGTGGGGCGCGGGCAGTTCGGGCGCGTGACCAAGTGCGTGAACAAGCTGGACGGCTGCGTGTACGCGCTCAAGCGGTCGCTGCGGCCCGTGGCCGGCTGCACGGCCGAGCACGCCGCGCTCAAGGAGGTCTACGCGCACGCCGCGCTCGGCAAGCACCCGCACGTCGTCAGGTAACGCCCGGACGGCAAATGGTAACCCCGCCAGTGACGGGTGAGGATGAAACGGCTCAGTGGGCCCGTCGTGACGAATACATCAATAATTGACCACGATGGTGTCCAAGGAAAACCGCATGGAGATCGACTTAATAGGGTATATTTCTAACAATGTGATTGCTATCCGCATTACTAACAATCCCTTCCCATCCCGGCAGTGCACCAGTGTTAGGTGAGGATGAAGCAGGTCTTTTTTTTAAATTGGTAATAATGAAGTAGTAACCCCGCCTGCGCTAGCGGTGTATGCTGGCGGGGCACCAATGGGAGATGATAGATGAGGATGAAAGCAGGTCAGTTAGCCCATCGTGACAAATTCAACAAGAATCGTTCACGGTGGTTTCCAGAGGGAACCACGTGAAGGTCGATATGGGAGTAAATATGGGGCTGTCAAACTCCATTGCTAACAATCCCTTTTCCCCCTATGAGATTGGTTTTGTTTTTAGTTTTCCCACGTTTGGTATATGTGCTGTTCTCCTAGTTTCCTGTTACTATAATCTTTAGATAAAAAGGAGGTTAAATACCAAAGATATGAACGTAACAATATTCTTTCAGATATTACTCAGCATGGGCGGAGGACGACCACATGATAATACAGAACGAGTACTGCGACGGAGGGTCACTACAACAGAAAATGGAGAACGGCCCGTTATCTGAGAGCGAATTATTATTGCTGCTTGCACACATCTCCGATGGACTGGCGTGAGTATACAACTGTCAAATGGTATAAGCCAGTGTTTCCCTACCTTTTTTTGTGCCATGCCCCACTTGAACGTTTCTAACATTTTTATGCCCCCATACATAATTTTTCCCTATAAAGTTTACTTGACGACTCTAAACGACCAGTTGATATTTTGGTAACGTCAAACGAAATTATACTTAATAAATATTTACAGTATTTTTTTAGTTACTGGTTTTTTTTTTTTGTTAAATTTGGCACCGATATCTACTCCTAGCATTGCATTTCAATGGACCGGAGCAAGAGATTAAAAATCGCTTCGAGTTCATTTTGTAATCCCCCCCCCCCCCCCTCTTAACTATCAAATTGTCCTCCTGTGGGGCGTGGGCCCCACGTTGGGAAACAGGTATAAGCAGTATTTGAGTGGTGATAACTCTGTTGGACAGGGGGGAAAGGGATTGTCAGTAATGGAGACTGAGAATCCCATTGCTAGCAATATACCCAACCAGGTCGACCTCCTCGCGGTTCCCCCTGGAAACTATCATGGTTAATTCCTGATGAATTCATCATGATAGGCTAACTGGCCTGTTTTCATTCTCATCTATCACTGTTCACTGGTGCTCCGCCAGCGTATCCTGTTAACGCCGGCGGGGTTACCATACCATTTTCACCCATAAAAAAAAACTCTATTGGATAAAGATCAAACCCCAACCTCAGAATTGACGAATTCGAGTTTGGATAACTAAAAAAGTGATTGCTTCAGAGGACAATATTATAGCTGGTGTCCAGTAAGCTACGTCAGACACCATGTATGTAGAAGCGGCTTAGAAACTTCATATCGGAAGACAATAACACACGAATTACACGAATTTACACGAATATACGGCTTTGGAATCAACATCCAGCAGCAGTATTTCCGAACCGATACGACATTTTAACCTTCAAGAAAAGAGCATATTCCTTTTTAAAAGGCCGACAGCACATCTACAATGCCTCTGGTGTTGCGGGTGTTCGTGGGCGGCGGTAGTCACTTACCATCAAGTGATCCGCATAATCCTTTGCTTTCGTGTTATAAAAAAAATTGCACAGTAATTTTTTTTTTCCACTGATTTCAGTAACGAGGTTCTCGTTACGTTGGTTTTTTTTTTTCATGTTTGTTACGTCATAACTCCGTCAGTTGTAAACCGATTTGGATAATTCTTTTTTTTATCTGAAAGGATATACTTACAGGTGGCTTCTGTAGAAATTTTATCAAAATCAGTTTAGTAGTTTTTAGATCAGAATAACTAGTGTTGCCACAATTAACGTTGGTTTTTTTTTATGCACGATTTTTTATTATTTGTGGATGATAATGGAATGGTAAAACCCGCCTGCGGTATCGGTATACACTGGCGGGTCACCAGTGAAGGATGAAAGCAGGTTAGTTGATCCATAGTGACGAATTTACTAGGAATTAACCACGATTGTGTCTAAGGGGTACTGGGGCTTGCTATAGGCTCCATTGCCAACCGTCCCCCCCTCCCCCCTTCCAATTAATATTATTATAGACAGTAATGTTGAAGCGTTGTGCTCGTAGGTACATCCACTCGCAGCGGCTGGTGCACATGGACGTGAAGCCGGGCAACATCTTCGTGTGCAGCGGCGAGGGCGAGCGGCCCGCGGACTCGGACGACGGCTACGACGACGACGACCCGCCACAGCCGCACTACACCTACAAGATAGGTACATATGTCCACTCTATATGATTACATTTAGCCTGTATACAGTTTGAGCTGTGATCACCATACTAAGCAATTATTCTTCTCCATCTATAGAGTGCCTGGAAGAGATCTTGGGAGAGCTCTTAGCGACTTTGTACAAAAGTCGTTTGCTTAGGTACTGCCCAATTCGTGATTCAACCGTAAAGCAGTTGTGTTTGCATGGCTGTGTTTCGGTTTGAAGGGTGGGATATGGCGTGAATTTACTGGGTACAGAGGAATAACACCTGAGTCCTCAGGAATGGCAACGCATGGGGGGTATCATGGGCGAAACAGTATAATCTGTTATGTCCATGGTACTGCTCATGTCTATAGGCGACAGTTACCACTTTCCATTAGGTGGGCCGTTAGCTTGTTTGCCATTCTAAATTGAATAAAAAAAAAACCCGTTTGCAGTTACTAGGACATTCATGAAGGTTTTTGTTTGTGTGCAGGCGACCTGGGTCACGTGACATTCGTGTCCTCCCCATCGGTGGAGGAGGGCGACTGCCGCTACCTGCCCAAGGAGGTGCTACACGAGGACTTCACGGACCTCACGAAGGCGGACATCTTCGCTTTTGGTGAATATTTACGTAATTTTTATTCTAGATATAACTACTTGCTTCATACCACAAAGATATGCATATCTCTTTTGAAGACAAGTTACTTGCGCGGTAGGTAAATAAAAAAAAAGCCGGTCAAGTGCGAGTTCAACCTGCACAACGAGGGTTCCGTACAAAATCATCAATTTTTTTTTTGTTAAGTAACCACAAATTTACTATTTTCGGATTGTTTCTTTCACTTGTACTACATGACATTGCTCCTTGCCAAATTTCATGATTCTAGGTCAACGGGAAAGTAGCTTATAGGTTTTGATTCCCTTTGCGAATGTCAAAATATGCGATATAAATGAAACATAAACGGTCGTATCTTTTGATTGCGCCACTTTAGAAGCTTGATTTTTTTCACTGCTTTAAGAGATTTCAGACCTGAGTATAATTTATTAATAAAATTTCAAAGAAAAAGGGTTTTGACAGACAGTCGGATAGATGGATAACAAAGAGATTCTATAGGGAATCCGTTTTTTCCTTTGGAGGTACGGAACCCTAAAAATAGGGAACAATATCTGACAACTAGTGACCTTCACGTCACTAGTTGAGCATAGGCCTCCCCCATAAATGGTTTTGATTAGTGGTTTTTTTATGGGTGATAATGAAATAGTAACCCCACCCGCGCTATCGGTATACACCGGTGGGGTACCAGTGAAGGATGATAGGTGAGGATGAAGTAGGTCAGTTAACCCATTGTGATGAATTCAACAAGAATTGTTTACAATGGTTTCCAGGGGGAACCACGTGTAGGTCGACCTGATATTGCTAGCAATGGGGCTGTCAAACTCTATTGCCAACAATCCCTTTGATCAGTAGTTGCTACGCTTGACTAGGTCGGTTGACAACTGCAGTTAGGCTTTATATAGATTATCTAATTGTGCGAAGCCGGGGCGGGTCGCTAGTATACAATAAAGTGACATCATTCCAAATATGTGAGATCAAGAATTTGAGACATATATGCCTGTTGAAGGTGTGGTAAGGGGCGACTAACGGAGGGCGAGGGATGGGAATCACCCTCTTAGAACATCTCTAGAAGCCTAACTGCAGTTGCCAAGCGTGGCAACTACTGAAAAAACTTTCCTTATGAGTAAGGCTTATTTCCAGCAGTGGACAGCTAATGAAATAATAATAATAACGCTTGATGTATGTTCTGTTTCAGGATTAACATTATTCGAAGCAGGCGGCGGTGGCTCGCTGCCCAAGAACGGGCAGCTGTGGCACGACTACAGGGACGGGAAGCTGCCGGAGTTGCCCAACTTGTCCAGGGAGTTCAACCAGCTGCTCAGGGTATGTCCGACTATTATGTACTAGGAATGAAAAATAATTAATATGTTACAAGTCTATTATCCAAATAATAATATTGTATAACAGACTTTTATATATATATATATATATATATATATATATATATATATATATATATATATATACATTTTTTATACAACTTAGAATGGCAAACAAGCTGACGGCCCACCTGATGGAAAGTGGTAACCGTCGCCTATAGACATGAGCAGTACCATGGACGTATCAGAGTATACTGTTTCGCCCATAATACCCCCCCTGCGTGCCTTTACGGTTGAAACACGAATGGGACAAAGGTACCCAAGCAAACGACTTTTGTACAGTCTCCCTCTGGAAGACTAATATTTTGATTTAAAACCTAAACTACTGAACTGTTTTTGATAATTTTTTTTAACAAATTAATCTATAAGTCTAATTCTATTTCAAATAAAAAAAAATCCAATTTGGTTTACAACTGACGGAGATATGGGATCACAAATACTTATAAAAAGAAAAAAAAAACAATTAAATTGAGAATCTCTTTTTTTAAGTCGGTTGAAAAATACAAATATAAAAAAAATACAACCGAATTTATTACCTACTTTTTGAAATCGGTTGTAAAGTAAATAAATTAAAGGCATCAATAGAACTTTATAAATATGTGAAGTAAATAAGTAAGAGCGCCAACATCTATTATATAAAATTCTCGTGTCGCGGTGTTTGTTACTAAACTCCTCCGAAACGGCTTTACCGATTCTTATGAAATTTTGTGTGCATATCGGGTAGGTCTGAGAATCGACCAACATCTATTTTTTATACCCTTCAATGAGGGTTATTATTTAAGGGTGACCCAACCCTAAATATATTTTTTTTTATTTTCATTTTATTATGATTGAGCATTGAAAAATACATAAAAATTCAAATTTTCACGCTATTACGATCAACCCCTGTTTTTTAATCGCGATTTTTATATGCCGCAATAGAAATACAGAATGTAATAATTGTAGTAGGATAATTTTTCATGTATAGTTCTCAAAGAAATGTATATGGTAAAACAACGTTTCCCGCGTCAGCTAGTAACTTTATAAATATGTGAACAGGAAATGGTCGACCCTGATCCGGCGGCGCGGCCGTCAGCGGCGCGGCTGCGCAAGCACCCGCTGCTGAAGAACAAGAGCAAGGCGCAGCTGCGGCGGGAGCTCGCCGCCGCCAAGATGCAGAACGAGGTGCTCGCCAAGAAGCTGCACAACGCCGCCAGGTACGCCGCCACGCGGCCGCAGCTTCTACGAGTACAACACTTGTATATAGGGGTGTACAATACATGCACATAATCATTAAATTAATGAATGCAACTGTCACGTGACAGCTGCTAAGTGTCAACACCGGTCAGATTCTATATTTGAATCACTACTCTATGTTATTTTTTTTGATGGGTGAAAATGATATGGTAACCCCGGCCGCGCTAACGGGAATTAACCATGATAGTTTCCAGGGGGAACCGCGAGAAGGTCCACCTGGTTGGGTATATTGCTAGCAATGGGATTCTCAGTCTCCATTACTAACAATCCCTTCCCCCCTTGGGAATGAAGGGGCTTAGTGACATTGTATTATGTTTAGTGGACATTTTATTCATTGCATTAGTGTAAAGAATTTACTTAACTTGCATTTAACAATGATGATTGATGAATGATTATTGATTGACAGTTGTATAAAATCATTGACACCGAACTATGTCGCGAACCAAGAGTCGGCCAAGTTCAGGACGCGCTCGGCCAAGCGGCTGCAGAAGCCGCGGACGGACGTGCAGCTCACGGAGCCGGTGCAGGTCGCGTCCACCAGACGGATGGACAGGAAGTCGAGACAGACGAGGTAAGATTGAAAAGTATTGTTTATAAAATATGCTGGTTCTTGTATATAAATTATTGTTTATTAACTAGCGGTCCGTCCCGGCGTCGCACAGGTGGACATTTTTAACATTTCCCTTCACTACTCTGTTCCTAGCATTCGATTTGATCGTAGCGTGATGAAAAGTATACTATAACCTGCCCAGGAGTATAAAGAATAATTGTACCAAGTTTCGTTAAAATCCGTCGAGTAGTTTTTGTTTCAATAACGAACATACACACAGACAGACAGAAAAAAATTTAGTGATTGCATTTTTGGCATCAGTATCGATCACTAATCACCCCCTGATAGTTATTTTGGAAATATGTTTCATGTACAGAATTGACCACTCTACAGATTTATTATAAGTATAGATTGTATTTAATTGTAAGCAAAAATGCCATCTGTTGACTTGATGTAAAATATATTTTTATAATTCTTTTTTTATACAACTTAGAATGGCAAACAAGCAACAACAAACAACGGCCCACCAGATGCAAAGTGGTAGCCGTCGCCTGTAGACATGAGCAGTACCATGGACATAACAGAGTATACTGTTTCGCCCATGTTACCTTCCTTCAAGGCGTTGCCATTCCAATTGATGACTCGGATGTATATATATTCCTCTGTACCCAGTATTTATTTATTTATAAATTCACAATTTGTGTTTGTTGTATTTACATTATTTTCACCACCCTTTCAAACTGAAACACAGGATGCAAACACAATTTTCTCTCACGGTTTGAAACACGAATGGGACAAGTTGCAACTAATCGTCGTAGTATTGTTTAAGTGCATTAAAGAATATATTAAAATTTAAAAGTATGTTTTTAAATGCCATTTGTCATTTTCAGTGTCAGAGATCGTAGAATCAAGAATCTTTGAGGGCCATTAATAATGAAGCATTATATTCGTAAGAACGACGTAAAACGACGCCTCACCTGGACAAAGTATAAATAATATTCATACAAATATTTCAAAAGACAACACCATAACCATGGGTGTTCACCACCATCAAGTTGATGTAATGTAATCGATATTACATTAGCATATTTCTCAGTCATGTAACATTGTTATATGTTGTTGTAATGATGTAACACGATGCCAATGCTCACAGTAAATACTCAGCCCAAGACACGAACCGTCTTTTAATAAAAAAAAAAAACATTGTTCTGTTACTTTTTAACAAATGGAAAAATAACGTAAAAGAAAAAGAAAAAAAAACACCTCAATAACGAATTTAGGTTTTTTGATGTATAATTTTGTTTTATAAATAAGGGCCAAATTGTTTGACCGTTTCTCTTGCATGCTTGTGTCCCAATAAGCATGCTTATGAGTGTGGCAATGAATGGTAAATATGCCAGTATTAAAAATAATTGATTGTGTTCCCAAAATGAATAATAATTCTGTATTAAAATTATAAAATTGTAATAAATATATAATAATGATACACCTTCAAATAGAAGTATGCATAAGTGAATAAGTTGCATTATGTATGTTTTTATAATAGCATATTGGTGTAAAGCACTATTCACACGTTTCTGGGTTAGCAATTTCTGTGCTCCAGGTTATTGATCTGATTCAATATATCTTCAGAGACAGATAAATCATAATTATCATTTCAGTTTTCCTCACAGTATATTCTGTAATGTCTGTGATGCTAATCACGTGTATAGGCGACGGTTACCACTTTCCATCAGGGCCGTCAGCTTGTTTGCCATTCTAAGTTGCATAAAAAAAGGCCTTTAATTGTTCATTGCTGAACCTATGTCTTCTTCATACACCCCTATAAGGAACAGTCCTGAACTACTTGCATCCACGGATTCCCCAGTCTTTTTTTAGATTGTCACACCATCTAGTGGTAGAACAGAGAATTCAGTGTTTGTTTAACCCATCACATATCAGGATATTCTTGTTTAATGCAAAACAAACGCATTCATTTATTAGATTACATAGAATGGCCTTTCCCCTGACGTGTTCCTTTCGTCCGGTAACATTGGATTCTTTACACGTACCGTGAAAAAGTACTGCTCGCTCAGAATATGTCGTCTTATTAAAAAAAAAATACCCACAAATGATAAACTGACTATTAATTAATAAAGCGGCAAAAGAACAATATGACGTACGAAAAACATTAAAAAAAAAAAGAATTTGAATATAAAAAAAGATATAATAAAAGGTTTGTTTCATGAATTCCGTCTCATTCACACCGCAACCCGGCATACTAAATCCAGATGACTTGGCAGGCGTCTAGATGTGCGTACCGCAAAACTGTAATCCAATTCATACAAAATAACGCAAGCCACCTTTCACCCCATTCCTGACGAACACTTATGAAGCCCGTACCCGGAAATGTGTGAACAGCGCCTAATTCTAATTCGTCGACACATAAGTTGATCCATCTGAGTATTCGTTTGCAAAAAAAAAACGGTTATTTTTTAAACAGTTTTTACCTTTTTTTTTAGAAAGTGTTACAAGATATCGTTCAAATGGAGTCACTGAATTTCGTAATATCTATTTTTTTTGGTTCAACGAATGACATGTATTTTTTTTTTTTGTTCTATTCAATGAATGACATTAGGGTTGACTATCTCGCCCTGTGTGCGCTTTTGTAATTTATCTTAACACGACACGATATTGTATGATTCTACCGTTGCGATATAATAGCAGAGCAAGATGTATGTGAATTTTTTTGGTGACGTTTTTATAGCGTACACACCATGGTGTCGTGGTGGGAATTTAATTATGAAAGCGCTCATTTTGCACCATGATTTTGATACGTCGTCCGCCGCTCGTGGGTTTGGACGTGATTAGATATGTACTGTGTTCGTGGTCGATGAAGCGACGTCATCGCGACCTGTGACGTCACGCCGTAATGACGTCACCTAGGGACGTAACTTGACTCGAATGATTAGGTACAATCGAACTTGAGATATTTGGATTTACAATACAATGATATTTTAATAATAAATCTTTTTATATAAAGAAATGGTAAATTAGAAATGTTTTCCTTAAATTAGATATAGTTTTTAAAATTGTAATTGTTACAAAATATAATTATGTATACAGTGATATATTTCAATATATATATATATATATATATATATATATATATATATATATATATTTCTGTATGATACCTACATTAATTTCGAACGGGTTTTTTTTATTTAGAGTTTTCGCATTGTACAATTTAATTTATTCGTTATTATGCTAATATATAGATACCGTAACTGTAATATATATATTTTGGTATATATTAAACAATTTTAATGGTGGCAACACTATAAATTTATTATTAAAATATCATTGCCATATGTATTGTTGACGTTCAAAGACAAAATACCAGTAATACAACCTAAATATATGTCGCAAGTGCCTTGACTGTAATATTAGAAGTGAAACTATGTGATCTGTTGTGCTTTTTCGAATTTACTTGTAAAATAAAAACTCTAGTGTAGCGTTATATTGTAATTTTTATTATTAATTATAGTAGAAACTGTCCTATAAAATCTTCCATTTCTCTCGATGTGATATTTGCTCGGTTTAGTTATAATATTCTATGTGTGCGTGACAGTTGCTTATATAAATGCAATAATAGTTTATGTACTGATACTGCTTAGTAGTTTGTATTCACACAAATTCATTATTTTATATTGTTAAACATTTTTTTTTTAAAAAAGCAACAGCTGATTTTCTTGCCCTGTTCTTGTCGGATGAATTTGCGTTCCAAATGGGCGGTAATGAAAGAATTGAATATTGAAAAATGCTTAAATCTAAGTTTATTTGAATAAAAATATGTCGTATCTTTCTTTCTTTCATACTTAGTATCAGTCACGCCTGTCGCCCATTGGTGTAGGCAGAAACTAGGGTAGTTATAACACATTGTCGAATATTGGTGGTTCGATCTTCCCTTGACCGTGGACATCTCGAATATAGAATATAACACGATAAAAATCATTTAAATTGTAGTAAACTGCGAAAATTTTGAATAGTCCGTTGTTTATGTATATACCGCCCAATTGGGATGCAATTTCAGTCGAGATATAATAATTATTTGTACCAAACATTCCAATTAAATGAATCGATAATCCATAGATATATTTGTCAGCTGGCGTAAATAAAAAAAAAAATAGATTAATTCAAAAATAAATAGATTAATTTATAGACTTTTTGTTACAATTAATAAGTTAAAGATGATATTTCTTGCGCCTTTTTAAGCAATTGTCATGCATATAAATTATATTTAGGCAGCTTTTATATATAGGTAATAATTTAAAATTACTGTTGTAAGGTCAAGCGTGATCCTTGTCTTATCGCTTCGAAATACTTGTTAGATATGTTTATAGGATATTTCATAAAGGTACGTTTAATTCAATTAATTAGATGATAAAAAACATAAAATTTTGAGTGTAAAGACAAACTGGCCTTAGCTTCTCATATTACCTGTAAGCTTTCACCTACAATAAGTTTAAGTCAATTATATCATTTATTTAGTTTATGATAAAATGGTATTTTACTAAAATTATTAATTAAATAATTAAGAGGTTAGTTTATAAAATAGGCGCCTCAGAATCAATCCCAGTGATAAAAATACTTCAAAAGTGACTTAATTTCATTTATTCCCCCTGAATATACATATAAACATTTACTTTTAAACATTCTGCATTCGACAGTGTAACTTTACAAAACAAATTAACCAGTGATTAAATTTTAGTAACACGCAACTGCGATGTGGTCATCCTAACATTATCCACTTTTTTTGAATTCATATTTGACTAATTCCAAATTCATTTTCACTATTTTCATACTTTAAAAAAATAAGAAGCCGTCGTCTACAACGAAGTCTACCTACACAAAATATTCTGCAGAGGGCGCTACCGTGGAAGGGTCGTCGTGCCCTTGTTTTTGGCATACCGCTTCTGAAATATCAATAAAAATAAAAATATATATTCTATCATAATTCTGTGCATTTATTTTAATCAATGTAATTTTTTTTTTTTATATATATAAAAGCAATGTTGACTTTTATATGTAATTCAAATTAATATAAATTTATTTTATTATTACAATCGGCTACTAGGCATTTTTAATATCGTTATAATGCTCGGATCACACTTGGCTTTCTTTTATATTTAGTAATAAATATATCTAATATTTATAATAATAAAAATAAGTGTAAAAATTGAATATTATTAGTTGTTAAGTGAAATGGAATAGTGAGCGATTGTGTGTCTGTAGCATCAATGTCAACAACAAACTTGAACGTTTGAATGTTGCAACAACAAAATGTAACAACAATTGAACGTTCAAACAACATTTCGTTTGTCATTACTAATTTGTAATTGTAATAAGATGAGATTAATTGTTGATATTTATGTTACGGGTGTAATTGTTTTTTTTTTTTTTTTAATTTTGTCGTTTTTCATTATAATCACTTTATTTTAAGACATTATTTCAAAATCATTCAATGGACATGTAAAAAAAATCGGCAGAATGTTCTGTGAATAGTAAAGCTTACGTTAATCCATACGAAGACAGAACGAGATATTTTATGATTCATATTTACACTTTGATCTACCTTCATATTTAGTTTAATGTAATTATTAAATACATTTTAAAATAATGTCTTACATGAATTGCTTATAATGAAATGCCACAAAATTGACTCGAGATCGTGATAATGTCACCCTTACGTCTCTTAATAATTAAATATATGGTCAATGTGGGAGACAACCCTAACTATATTGTATGTATGTAAAACTTGTTAGTAAATAAGCCTTTTATAAATGTATATCAGTTATTTGTAATTAATATTTATGTCACCCTGTGGATATCCCAGTGTGAAACTTGAAAATTCGAAACAGTGTAAAATAGTCTTTAATGTAATGTGAATAGAAAATAATATACTTTGACGGTGGATGATTTTGATTATAAATATAATAAAAAACTATTGGATTTTTTTTTTTTTATTATAGTCTATGATTCGCGATACAGAATTGTCTCTGGACAATTTTTTATTTTTTTTAAATGTGCTCACCTCATACACGCTTCAGTTCACAGATAAAAGTTTGTGTTTCAAATCTATGCAACCATTTAATCGGATTTGTAAATTTAACTTTATTAATTAGTCTAGATAATACTGTAGACAGTGATGTTTTATAAATAGTATGATTATTTTTTAATGTTGGTATTTCTAAAGGATTGCATAAATTCATTTTCCTGTTTCATCAATATGAAGACAGTGTCGACTCTTTAACGCAGCGATCACTTGTTCAGTAGGTTATCTGTTATTGTACGGGAATCCACAGAGTACATTACGTGCTATAGTTTTTATTATTTATCCAATACGCTCACATGGTGAGTGTACACATTAACTCTAGTGTTACGATCTCATCGCGTTATTAATAATTCTATATTGAACGGTTGATTTTTATTATCAGTTTTGACCGCGGCGGGTTTCGGGCAATGTCCGAACACAATTGGCAATGTGTGAAATTGTTTTTGATTAGTCAATTCTGGTCATTAGTTCGCTGTTTGTATATGATTTGGATTGTTTTAAAAACATTATTATTTTTATTGTTAATACATTGTAATAACGTATTTGCATTTGTGTATTTCTTTATATATTACTGTAATTAAGTGATCATAATCGTCTTTTTATTTTTGTATTTAATATTTTTTTTTTGTGTAATTGTATAGCTTTCGAAATTATTAATAACTTTTTTCTTTTAATTTAATGCCTGATTCCCGTCAAAGATGGCACATGGAAATGTAATGCACGGTATAGCATGGTATATGGGCATTATGAATAATGCCCAATTAATGTAAGTAATATCCGGTGAATGTTGATACACCACGTTTGCTTGACCAAAGTTGGTAGATGGAAGTTGTGAATAGGATGTTTGAATATTGCTTATTATAATGAATATTGAAATAAATGCTTGTTTCCATTATTTTATTCTTTTTTTTTCTGTCTTTAAATTTTACCTAACATTAATTCTACGTTTTTTTGTTAAATAACAAAAAAAAATAATTATTTCGTTGTATTTTATTATTTAGTTGGATTAACGTATGAAAAGTATTCCGTATATATATATATATATATATATATATATATATATATATATATATATATATATATATATATATTTTAATCGTAAAAAATAACTTTTTCGTCAAATAATAGCACATAGGATGTAGTACTATACAAACACTGAGATGGAAAAATAATATTCATCTTTTTAACAATCTACATTAATAATTAAATATTTAAGTAGGTATTTGAAAATTTTCTTGAATAAATATTTTTTACCGCCATCTTGCAAAGATTCTAAGAACTATCAAGTTTTTTTTGTAAAATAGCTACAACTATTTGTTAATAGATGGTGATAATAAAAATAATAAATTCTTACTACTTAAAGACAGATGGCATTCTAATTATTTCATTTTAAACGGTTTTTGTGAAAACCATGAATTCCATGGAATTAAACATTCGTTTGTGATTATCGGTAATAATGAGCCGCTAAAACACAATGGTACAACAGTTGATAAAGAAAAATGTCTTTACAGATATTTTTAGATAAGGATCAATTCGCCAATTTTCAAGTGAAACTTTTCGCATTGTGCACTTATAAAGTTAAAAAATAAACTGAAGTAACGCAAGTGCTTTTGAAATGCATGTGATTGTTTTATTATTTATTTTAAACACTTGTCGTGGATTTAAAATACTTATTCGTTTTTTTTTAAAGGAATAATAACTCAGCTTGTGCTATTGACACGCTGGCGGGGTACTAGTAAGAGAAGATAAGTGAGGATGAAGGCAGGTCAATTACCCCATCGTGATGAATTCCACAAGAATTAAAAACGATGGTTCCCAGGGGAACCGTGTGGAGGTCGATCTGATAGGGTATATTGCTAACAATGCGGTAATTATGTCCCTATTATTAACAATCCTTTTTCCCTCGACACTTATAAGTTGACATTATGGTTACGTAATAAAATCAAAACTATACATTTAAATACTTTTACAAATGTACCCCTTATATTGCGGACTTAAAATTAATTACAAATATACGCAATACGGAAAGCAGAGAGAGAAACTTATACAACAACTGGTAATAAGGTATATATTTGTCTGAAATTGTTATATCTTGGCAATCTTAACCTTATATTGTAGTATTTAAAGTATTTTTTTTAAGAAACAAATATTAATCTATTTCTTTTTTTTTTTTCACACGCACACACAAAATAGTAACTATTGTTATGATGTACTACAGTGTAGTTTTTTTATTTCCTTCTAAATTTAATAATTACTCCAGCCACGACAAATTTATATCGCTAACTCAGTGAAAATCTGTTATCGGCTTTTTATATGTATAAATAGTTGTTATTTTAAGCTAAAAATTGTAAGCTGTTGGTTTTCCAATAAATAAATAAAAAGGTAAAACTTTTTTGCGCAACTTTGTCCGTTCGACCGTCAGACCGTCCGTTTGTCACAGCGCTATACCTCAGTCACTTTTAATGCTATCGATTTGAAATTTGGAATAATTTTACTTATTATTGGCCCACATATACTGCAATAGAAGTAATTGAAAAAATATTTTTATTTTCTTTGCTAAGCGGTTCAAAGGGTGTACGCAAAATTTGATAGATGACCTACGTTAGTACGTAGTTCAAATGATAAGTATAATATACCTAAATACATATATATTTATATATATTTACCTAACACACACAATGCTTTTAATAAAAATGCGTTCACAACTTATATGTCTGCATTAAATTATAATTCTTTATATGCATGCGAAATACAATTTTACCAGAGGGAGACTTTGTACAAAAGTCGTTTGCTTGGGTACTCTGTCCCATTCGTGTTTCAACCGTGAATCAGTTGTGTTTGCATGGCTGTGTTTCGGTTTGAAAGGTAGGATATTTACAAGGTACACAGGAATAACACCTGAGTCCTCAATAATGGCAATGTATGGGGGTATCATGGGTGAAACAGTATACTCTGTTATGTCCATGGTACTTCACGTTTTTAGGCGACGGTTACTATTTCCCATCAGGTGGTCCGTCAGCTTATTTGCATTCTAAGTTCTCTCTTTTATTTCCGTCTTTTTAGTTAATATGTTAGATGCAATATAAGTATATTATGAGATTTAAATTTTCATTTAAAAAAAAGTCTGATTTCTTTCTCACGCCTACAAATCCAATTTAGAAAACTGGTTTTGATTATCCCTTCCAATTTTAATATCCCGTCCGTATCGCATTTGAATAAAATTAAAAACCATAGCATGAAATTTGCCATTTCATATACAAAATAACCGCTCATAAATAAAACGATAAATGTAATTATGACAATTCCAAATCTCCGTTACTAAACAGCGCGGCAAATTAAATAAAAGATGGCGTCACGTGCGCCCAGTTCCCGCCAAATAGTGTGTCAGATGCGTTCCGTTCATTGTAATAAGTAATACAATTTGATTTAAATCGTAAATAATATTTTTGTCTATTTTTAATATTATATAAATTATATATAAATCAGTAACGCTTTGTGATATAGATAGTTATTGGTTTTTTATATAGATCATATAACTAAATAGAATTAAAAGGTCGATGGAACGTTTGTAAGGTCGAAAGGTCCGAATTTGTCGTCAAAAGTATTAAAAAATAAAAGGTAAATTTGTCTTTCGGTCTTTTGTCTAAGTCCTTTTGTTTTTGTCCCAAGCTGTCAGTTTTAATTGTAGAATGTCTTAGCGGACAGCGAGAAAACCGGTCAAAGAGGCCGCAACAAGAATAGAATCTCAATATAAATGCTTTCTCAAAATACTTATTGTAAACATTGTATTGAGACAATGAGGTCGATTCTAAAGTTTGAACGACGAAGGTTTTTAAACAGTGCGTGTTGCCAGTGATGACTTATGGAACCAAAATATGTTCTTACACGGTTGCCTGTACGCAAAAGTTTATTTCTTAACGAACTATGGAGAGGGCTATGCTCGGAGTTTCTTTGCATGACAGAATCCGAAATGATCCTCATTTCGGACCCGCAAAAGAACCAAAGTGACCGACATAGCCCGAAGTTTAACCAAGCTGAAGTGGCAATGGGGTGATCACATAGCTCAAAGAACTGACAAGCGATGGGAAAGAAAGGTTTTTGAGTAAAGGTCCTGTATAGGCGATCACAGTACACCCCAGTACATACAGGACGACCCCTTTCCCATTTCTTACTAGATGGAGTGAGGACCTCAAATGCATTATAGGAAGACGGTTCAGGACCGTTTTTTATGGCAGTATATGAGGGAGATCCATTTTCAGCGGTGGATGGATATTGGCTGAGATGATGTTGAGGATATCATGGTCGAAACAGTACACTCTGTTATGTCCATGCTATTGCTCATGTTTATAGGCAACTGTTACCACTTTCCATCAGGTGGACCGTCAGCTTGTTTGCCATTCTAAGTTGCATAAAAAAATGAATTAGCAGCGAACTTTAAAAAAGGGCGAGCACAAAAGATTATGGAAAGGTCGCAGTGTCTCAAGTTATTCTGCGTGAAAAAGTCCGTCTTTAAATAATAAATGAATGGTCAAAGTGTCCACAAGTTAATTAATCATAAGCAGATACCTAATATGATCCTAAACAGAGGGTCAATATCACCATAATTAGTACAAATAGTACGTGTATTGCTGTGTAGTCCCGGCATAGAATGGGCCATCCCTTCCGTTCCTGTGGGCGTCATAAGAGGTGACTTAAGGAAGTTAACGGTCGAGAAATGGGCAGCAGCGTCCCTCTTAAAACATCACCAAAAGCCTAACTGCGATTGCCAATCCATCTGCCAAGCGTGGCAACTACTACAAAACTCTTCTTGTGAAGTAGGCCTATGTCCAGCAGTGGACAATTAACGACTGATATAATGGTGATGATTAATTAATATAGAACATCAGCAGACTGTCTTATAGCCAATACAATACGTTTATTCTTGCTTTCTAACTGTATCGGGTTCACTGGAAGAGATCTCTGTCAGAGATAAGTCCACTCCTGCTCACAATATTTATAAATGCATTAACAATGTAGTTTGAAAGCGCAATAAAGAATATATATATATTTGTTTACATTTTTATAAAGCTTTATTGAAACAAACTACACAAGAAACGCCGGGCCTTACAATAGCTAGAATCCTGTCGAGCGTTCTAAATATTGTTTTGACAGTTGCCACCCCTTCCGACTGTCCGTGACAAATTAATATAATTGTAATAATATCGAAGGATGATATGAATGGAATGGATAGGGGTCTTTGTAAGATTAACTTTGATTACATTTTGTATATATTTTTTTCTATATTAATGCTAACCGTCTGTCTTGATACGGACATGTGATGTTTATTGGTGAGAGGTTTTTTTGATGGATGAAAATGGAATAGTAACCCCGCCTGCACTAACGAGATAAGCTGGCGGAGCACCAGTGAAGGGTGATAGATGAGAATGAAAACAAGCCAGTTAGCCCATCATGATGAATTCATCAGGAATTAACCATTATAGTTTCCAGGGAGAACCGCGAGGTCGATCCGGTCTGATTTAAATATAACATTTGGTAACATGTAAACAGCCAAATATTAAAATAAAATCGATAGTAGGCGCCCAATGCAATTTATAACGCCGGTATCAAATTTGAAACATGTAAATGATTTAAAAAAAGAACATTAAGAGCGAGTAGGTATGGGTAGTAAGTGTATGTCAGGATCACATAATCTTGATCGCAAGCAGACGAAACCAGCGGACGCAGCTAAGTCACTCACTAAGTTCACAAAAATCTTCTCAACCTCTATTAATCTTCATAAACAAAGTATCAAAATTAAATAACTTGCCGTCTTGTGACGTCATCATTCTCCCTCGGCCCTCAAACACAACGGCCATAAAATTCATAGACCATTCACTTACTGCCTTTTTATTGGATTATATTTTTATATATTACCAAAGGTATATTCCACCGTAAAAACAAGATCATAAGGTTGTAAATAGTACGACAGGGCGTTGGTGTATAAGCCGTTCGGCTCCGAGGGCCGTAGCCAATAACACAGCGTGGGGGGTGTGGCTAATTTCAAAATTGGAAGCCTTTTTCTTCAGGTCGCGCGCGCTTTTCCTTGTTTCCAACCTCCAACGTACTCGGTCAGACCATAGACTATGAATATGTCGCGTTCCGTTTCATATGTTCTTTTTTTTTATTCACTGTCAGCTCTTTGCCCATTTCTTTGTGCGCGTGGATTTCAAAAGTAGAAAAACCTATTATATAGTGTTTCATGTTTCTTGAAAACTGGTATACGATTTGTATACCAGTTTTCAAGTAAATCCTTCAGGAATACAACTGTTAAAACCGTATTCATTTTGGTGCAGTAATTTTTGCGTGATGCTAGTACAAATATAGAGACAGAAAATTTCTAAAAAATATTATTTTGACTTTTAATAATATTATATAAAAATCACTTACATCAATTTTTTTTTTTAATCTTTCATACAAAGATTATCAACCAATTGTAATTTAATTATGTAAGTAAAATTAGTGATTATTTACTTTAGTTTTTATTAATAGACTAGCTTTTACCCGTGACATCGTCCGCGTGACCTATATCCTTCTCCATCCCGTATAGTACGTTTATAGATAGATAAATAGAATATTTATTACCACTGTTGCTATATATGTACACACCTCCAGCGAGATGTACCTAAACAGTGCTGATTTACAGGCGACTCCTATTTATTATTGATTATAACATTATTATTTGCAATTATATATATATATATATATATATATATATATATATATATATATATATATATATATATATATATATATATATATATATATATATATATATATATATATATATATATATATATATATATAAGTTTTTTATTTGTATCAAAAGGAAGGGCGGAGGGAGGGGTACAATTATTAGGTGCTAAGTCGTAGACATTACACGGCGTAGTGGCTACGTAGCACACCTACATTGCTACGATTTCGCTACGAGAGTGCTACAATTGAATTATCTATACTTATACAATAAAGAAAAAAGATTTGACTGTTTGTTTGTAAAAGTTTGTAAAACTCTAAAACTACACAACCTAATTAGTAGTACCGCATTCGAGTATTCTGCCACTTCCCTACGGTTGACTGGGAGAGAATGCTTTTAGCATTAAGTCCGCCATGTACACATATATGTACTAATGAATAAATAAATAAATAAAACTTATTTTAAAAATTCATAACATGCTGTATATAATATTTTCGAAAATTCTAAATTAAATATTCTAATCAATCCGTGCGAAGCCGGGTTGGATCGCTAGTTATTAATATTTTATATTATGTTATATAACAATGAGATATAAAAGTAATTTATACATATATAAATGTCTCCTAGTCTTGATAAATTTTAATTGAGCTTGAAAATGTAGGATGATTAAAAATAAAGCGAATAAAATGTCATTTAAGTGGCGACCGTGTACAAGCAAACGCAGTACAACCCCTAATCGATATCTGCAGGCAGTTAGAAGATAAGTTCTATGTTTAGCAATAGGTAAGTGATGAATAGTAGAAATAATGATAATGAAAATATACATAAAAAAGGTATTAAATATTAACAAGTTATTTTTGTCAGGTTGTAAACAAGCATACGGTTTGCCTGATAGTAAGCAGTTACCTTATCCTGTGGATGCCACGTGCATGTTGCCGACTATGAATCCCCCCTCCCCTCCCACTCTCTGCGACTCCCTCTGCTCTTAGCAGCTCTCATTACACACCGCAAGATCATTTTTATAATATGGTAGATAGTAGTACTTTTTCATATAAAAATCCCACTGTTGCCTTAATTTTTAAGCATCCATTTCAGCGGATGCAATAGCACTTGGCTAGTTTTATATAGAGAAATTAAGCCACAAACATTTTAAATAAAAGCGACATGATATACGCCCTAAATAAATCTGAATTGAATAAAACAATGAATCAAATCAAAAACAGATAACCCAATGAAAAAACGTTCGTAGCACTTACAACCTTTTTAACCCTTGTCTATGATTCACACATAGACAAAGATATCTCAGTTAGTATTGCAAACTCATTACAACAAACTTATCAAATTATATAAAACCTTATTTTTATATTGTATTAAGGTGAAAATAGAATAACAATGGACGCAATCGTAAGTTTGTAAGTCGTTACACGTCCAGAATAACTTGAACTTTGTTGTTCAGTACAAAGTTCAACTGTGGCCACGATTGTACGAACAGATAAGAGGAGGGTGGCTCCAGTTACGCTGGTTGTTTCCACACAAAAGCGTTGCTAAAAAGCCACCCCGTGCGCTCGAAAACCCGCCCCTTCAAAGAACCACTCCCTTGAAAGTCAGTCGCTCTATAACCATTATAGAGAGTACATGTGTGCTCATATCGTGTATGCGCCTATAATCGCTGTGCGCTATCGGGTGTTGCGAATTTGAAATTGGAATAATCGAGTTCCAATTTCAAAAACTTCACAATTATAGTGATGTGTTTTGCAACAATCATGCGATAACCTGTTGTTATTGTTAAGAGAAATAACTGTTATTTTTATTATGAATGTATAATGTACCCAACGGAAAATTTAAAACATGGACCTTTGAAGTTGAATCCGTTTGTCGCGCAAAAAAACTTGGACCATAACATTATGTTGAAGACTATACAAAATCTCTGTTACAACAAGTCAAACGCCAACCCGTTTAATATGACATCGCCATTTTTGGTCGATAACATTTTGCATCAACAGAAAAACGTTAATTTCCATAATCAATATCTGAACCAGCAAATTGAGAATTATGTTTTACACAGGCAAAATTATGAAAGATCGAGGGAAAATTCGCCTGAAGTTGAAGACGGAAAGGCGGATTTAGACGATGAAAATAATAGAAACGACGAATCAGAAGAAGCCAAAATAGAAAATGACGAAGACTCCAAAAGCAGAGATGAAGAAGAAGGTTATAATAATGTAAAAAATGAACAAAATTATTATAATAACGATTATTATAGAAACGAGGAGAGTAGAAACGCAGACAAAGAGGTATTAAACATACCGAGCTTATCGCGTAGATGTACAAGTTGTGGTACGTTCGATTGTCCGCCGTTTCATTGCAAAAAATCTGGCATTAGACGGTTAGAAGAGTTAGAGAAAAGGTTTAATCTACATAGTTACCATGAAAACTCTGGTGATGAAGGGGAAACAAAAGACGGGAAGCCGTTCAACACGGACGATATGGTTAGGAGCTGTGAGGAGTACAATAACGAACAGAAGAAGCCCATGTTGAAATTCAGTGTCAGTGCTATTTTAGGCGACCGGGAAGAAAGTGCGGCGAAAAATAACAGTATAGCCGGTAAGTTATTTAAACTAGTTATTTATTTTTTCACAGATATAATAATTTTTAACAAGTGAAACGTTTTAAAAAGGCGTTAAACTTCACGAAACCGAAATATAAGCATAATGTTGTTCGTATCAAGTGTTCTACTATCTGTCTATGGTAGACAGGCGTAATGTTATTATTTATAAGGATGAGGTCATTTCTCAAACTCAGGATACCTTATATTCGACCAGTATTATCGGAAAATCATTTCAGGCATTAGAAAGATACTGTGTAACTTTAGCAATCATCATCATCTTCCTACCCTTATCCTAATCATTTGGGGTCGGCGTGATATGATTTTATCCATATTACAAAAAGATTTGGTTTTTTAGTTTTATGACCAGCCACCTGCTTGACGTCAACCCTCTTTGGGAATTCAACCCTCTTAGGGAATGTGTAACTTTAGCAATATATATACCAATAAAAAAAGAAATGGGTAAGAGTTTTTTAAAACTCGCTCTGACTTCTTGGGATAAATATTTATGGATATATTCTATTTTTTAACGATATTATTTTATGTTATTCTACAAATTTAAAAATCGAAGATTAATTATAAAAGTCAATCAAAGGACATTTGATTTATTTAAAATGCTAAATTTGAAATATAATTTACGTAAATTAGGCACTGATCGATTAGAAAACACGGGTTGTCGAATTTGTAAAAACACAGATTGGACCGTCGGAGTGCATTTTATTGAAAGTTTACAATTAAAGGGAATTATCTTTATTCGAATTGGATTGCCAAGATTTTATACAACATACATACATACATACTTTTCAACCGATTGTAAAAAGAAGCAAGTTCTCAATTAGACTGTATTTTTTCATGTTCAGTACCCCATAACTCCGTCAGTTGTAAACCAACTTGGATTTTTTTTTTGTCTGAGAGGTGTGTAGTCCGCACATTGATATAATACAGAGTGGCTCCATAGAGACTTTATCAATATCGATTTAGTTGTTCATTTTTTAGTTAGTTTACTCTGTTAGTTTATAAATAACTGATTTTGTTTCAATTATAGTAGATTCTTTTTGTGAGACACAATCTTTATATTTTTTTTATACCACTGAGGTGGCAAACAAGCATACGGCCCACCTGATGGTAAGTGGTTACCGTAGTCTATGAACACCTGCAACACCTGCACAATATTAACTTATTTTATTATTATATTTATCTTTATTTCACCGCCGGATTTGAAAATTTATTTTATGACGAGAAGCGTTTTTTTAGAAGAGAATCCCGTCTCTTATAAACCGTAAACCATGCAACCCGAAAGTATAAAAGTTAATTATTTTTAACCGACTTCGAAAGGGAGGTTTTCAATTGGGCTTTTTTAAATATATTTTTAAGAGCTTAATTAACGCGATAATGTGTCTAGGCAAAATATTTCGACCGTCACGTAACGACCGTCGCCGTGCAAAGTGTTTTAACCAACTTGAAAAAGAAGGAGAACTAAATTCGGCTATAGTTTTTTATATTTGTTATTTCATAACTCTTTTTTATCTAAATGGAAATATATCCATGCATAACATACATCCATCCATACATAACACAAAATGATACCATAGATATTTTGTCAAAATCAATTAAGTGGTTTAGTTTCAAAGTACAAAATTACTTTTTGCCTGTTTTAATGTGCTTTTAGTGCCACATTTGAAATCTGTTTTTTTTTTTTTCTCTAAGTAACAACATTTTAATTTATATTTTTTATTTAATAATAATAATAATCTTTATTTCAAACAATGGATTACAAAATTGATTAACAACGGTCCCCATATGGGTCGGGCCTGTATCTGGGGAACCAATTAACTATATATGGATAGATATAATTTTAATATAAATATATATAATAAGGCGGTTCACTTCCGGGAAAGATGCAGAAAGCGGTGCTCTTAGTTCTGCCCGCATTGTACGCCGGTTTCTCTGTGTGTGTGTGTGTGTGTGTGTGTGTGTGTGTGTGTGTGTGTGTGTGTGTGTGTGTGTGTGTGTGTGTGTGTGTGTGTGTGTGTGTGTGTGCGTGTGCGTGTGCGTGTGTGTTGTGTGCTTGCATTTCAATAAATATTTTAGAAAACAGGTCTTATCAGATCCAATTACTTTTTTTTTTTTTTTATACAACTTAGAATGGCAAACAAGCTGACGGCCCACCTGATGGAAAGTGTATGCACAAAGTTTCGCCCATGATACCCCCTATGCGTTGCCATTCCTGAGGACTCGGGTGTTATTTAGAGATATCGCACCCTTCAAACCGAAACACAGCCATGCAAACACAACTGCTTCACGGTTGAAACACGAATGGGACAATTACGTATTTTTAATTTTGCTTCTTTCACTGAACAATATTAAATATTCCAACTCTATTTCTTTTAATAATATGTTTGCCAGTTGTTACTCCGGCTAATGGTTATTTAAATAAAGTTCACCGCGTCACGCATTCCAATAATCAAAATTACATGACAAATTAAATTCATACAAGAAATAACAGAACAAGCAACATTACAAACAAAAAAATATGTAAACAAAACATGATAACATGGATTACAATAATTCCTCACCTTCACCAGAGGGAGACTTTGTACAAGAGTCGATTGCTTGGGTACCACTGTCCCATTCGTGTATCAACCGTGAAGCAGTTGTGTTTGCATGGCTGTGTTTCGGTTTGAAGGGTGCGATATGGCGTGAATTTACAGGGTACAGAGGAATAACACCCGAGTCCTCAGGAATGGCAACGCATAGGGGGTATCATGGGCGAAACAGTATACTCTGTTATGTCCATGGTACTGTTCATGTCTATAGGCGACGGTTACCACTTTCCATCAGGTGGGCCGTCAGCTTGTTTGCCATTCTAAATTGTATAAAAAAAATTGTTATTTTATTAATATTATATATATTAAATCATCATAATCATTACAGCCGTATAACTGTCCAATACTAAATATAGTGCTGTCCCATAAGACGGGTTTTGCCAGTAGTTGCCACGCTTAGCAGGCTGGTTGGCGACCGCAGTTAGGCTTTTGTGGTGTTTTAAGAGAGACGCAACTGTTACCCATCCTTTTACCATAAGCTCCCTTAGTGCCCTCTTACGACACCAACGGGACTTAGACAGATATTTATTTCATATTATAAATTGATTTTAATAGTTTTTTTTTTTTTTAAATACAATTAGTGTTATGCCACCGATTAAAAGAGTTACGTTAATTGTTACAAAATTAATGTGGAACCGACTCGTGAGTAAATGATATTGATTAAGGAATAATCATCAAATCCATTCGCAATTTAGAATCTTTTCTTTGTAAACTTATGCACGATAGTATATTATGTATGGCACCAAAAATCTATAATAAAATACCAAAATCTATAAAGGATGCACCAACTAATGTATTTAAGTATAAATTAAAAAAAATCTTAATCGATAAATGTTATTACAATGTATGTGAATTATTTAATGATAAAATTTGACAAAACGAATATTTATTTATATTTATTAACATCATTGTGACATCGTTCTTTTATTTTTGACTGACAATTGTTATTTGTTTAAATGTATTTGAAAATTGGAATGTGATGACGATTAATGGTATAAAATGGACTTGACTTGTGAACTATCTGTGTAACTAACTACATATGTTTGTATGCCGTACAGGCTAAACATGTCGAACGTTATTATATTGTCAACATCTGCATGTATTTATACGCATGTTTTACAAATAAATAAAATCTTGAATCTTGAATCTTGTAGTAATTATAAAAAAAAAATATTATATTTACTTACACAAGTAACAATATAACGCAACGCCTCGTCTATTGTTTCATTAGAGCGCTATTAGAATCGACACCTCATAATAACACCCTCTTGTAATTGCTCGCGTCCAATACTTGAGACAAAAAATGTAATAATAGAGAAATATCAGCAGTATCAATAATAAAGCAACTTACGTTCCAGTAAAGGACATATTAATTCCGTAGCTGGACTCCCTGTGTAGTGCCGTCTCACTCTCACTCGGATATCGCGCTATATAGGCGTCCCGTTCACGCCCCCGCGCTTAAGTGTTCGCCCAGATGTTGCCACTTTTATTGAAAAAGTCGGTAGCCATACTGTGACTTTCTGTAGTAAATTAAGATGTAGCGTTGGGCAAAGAAAATTGTTTGCAATAACGTTATATTAATAGCGCGTTAATAGTTTTAACCGTTATTTTTTCGTTATAATTAGTTTTTTGTTTTAGCTGTTAATTATTAGTTAAGAGTTAGGTTATTAAGAATTAAGAGTATTTTTTTGTTTTTTTGATGGGTGAAAATGGTATGGTAACCCCGCCTGCACTAACGGGATACGCTGGCGGAGCACCAGTGAAGGGTGATAGATGAGAATGGAAACAGGACAGTTAGCCCATCATGATGAATTCATTAGATATTAACCATGACAGTTTCCAGGGAGAATCGCGAGGAGGTCGACTTGGTTGGGTATATTGCTAGCAATGGGATTCTCAGTCTCTGTTACTAACAATCCCTTTCCCCCCAATTTAAAGTATTAAAGTATTAGAATTAAGTTAAGAGTTAATAAAAGAACATCTGTGATTTATTCAATAGACAGGAGATTGGTTTATTTTCAAATATACTCGCAGAACCACATTCCGAAATGGCAAAATCTTTAATTACTATATTTTTGTATCAATAATTCCCTTTATGAAAATAGACTACTAAGATATTATGTATTATCTATTTATGTATCAATGTTATAAGTATGTGACGTATTTTATAAAATTAGGGTATGATGAGACTGACATACCCTTATAGGATAAAAGCCTCTAAATAAAAAAGATAAAAAAATCTGTGATTTATGAAATTGCTTCTACAAAAACTATTTTATAAGAAAATCTCTGTGAAGAATAAGTGGTATACTATCTCGACTTATATAAACCTTAAAAGTACTTCATATGTATATGGTATACAGTTAACACTAAAAACAAGTAAAGCTTCTAGT